TCAACTTGTTTAACAACATTATCAAGTAAGTGCAAAATTATAGAACTATAAGCGATTTCATTCATTTCTTCAATTTCAACAGGTTTAGCCTTTAACTCATCAGAAAAAGTAGAGGATCATCGAGAGCTTTCGCAACTCTCTGTTGGACCAAAATGGTCATCATTTTCTGTTTCCAATCATCCTTTCCATCGAATTGTGATAATTCGACCCTCGAACCCATTACGGATTCGGTAAAAGGGTGACCTGTACTCGTGGATATAACATAAAATGTTTTGAAATTTTTTTCAAGTGATCGATATAAAATAGAAACACAGAGTTATGACAATATCCAGAAATTGAAGAACAGTAGTGAATCAATCCGATCAAGAAATCTCAATGTGATGTGTATGCTGGTGTGATCCAAGCTCAGGCAATACACATGTATATTATGTAAGTAAATATGCTTTCAAGATTACAAATCAGTCAAAAGAATCCAATCACCAGAATTCATAGACAAGTAATCAATTAATCATGCATCAATTCGATAGTCCACCAAACCGTATTCAAAAGGTGAGGTTGGAACGATCTTACCAGTTACTGTTGAAAAACAGTAAATATACCCTCAACCTCGAGGTCGAACAAGCTAGCCAGAGTCACCAATCACCCAATCCAGTCAGCACATACACAATAAAACAAACACGAGGAATTAGTGTCGATTAAAACAAGATGCCAATGTTATATTATCTGTTCAGACCTTCCAAGGTTTGTACAGATAATATTACCCAAAGGAAAGAACCCAAATAGCATATTAAAATGGAAAAACACGGCCAAGCCCTAGATTGAAAAGGCTCTAATACTAGTTTTGTTGGGAAATTACAGTTATAATCTTAAAAAACCACAATGCAGTCAGACATCTACAAAGCATAATGAAACCATAGAAACTAAAGATAGTAAATAACAGAGTTATTCTTCCCTTCTAGCGAAGCAAAATGTTGATACCCAGTTCACTCATCCATGGCCGGAAATGGTAGGCTCAGGAACAACCCTCCACGTTTGCAAATCGCCTTCCAAAGAGAGATTTATAACCGGTCAGAAACACTCAGAACTCGACTTGGGTTATCGATCCAATGATCTTCCAAAACAGTCAAGTTCAAGTCCTAACACTGACCTAATCCTTGCGAGAAACCAACACCATTCAGCTACTATTTCAAGCCTGAATGTTACACAAGGTTCTCTTAACAATAGGCTAAAGAAGACTGTGAACACCAGATGAAGACCACGGACTCAACAGAGAGAGAGAGAGAGAGACAGACCAACTGTGAGAAAGAGAAGAGAGGTCTCAAGGAAGGAATCGAGTGGAACTCAAAAGTTGAAGTCCAAGAGAAAATATCTCACAAGAATAAACCCCCGCCGTCGATCTCATCCAAGGGGTCACAATCAGTTCTAAACTAGCACAATCCGGGTGACTACCAAGCTACCAATAAGTGGGTGACACTTAAGCAACTAAGAATAATCAACAATACAAATGTCACAACTAGCACTAGTCCAATAGTCTTAAAGAACCACTAAAGCCTACACAAGGTTACAATAATCGAATTGAAGTGACCCAATCAATTACAAAAATTATAAATTGATCCAAAAACAATTCAATTTCACGGGGCTTTATTTTTTAGGATATAGCTATCTAGTCAGAAGGATTTGACAAAAACATGACATAATTGCATTTAGCGGTAGATAATTGAATTGAAAAATTGGTTGTGTTTTAAATTGTCCAATGATAAAATGATATGTGACATTATGCTAAGTTTTATGTCAACCTTGTTCATGTAGCATGATTGTATTTTTTAACATGTGTTCAAAAGAAACCTTACACGATTCAAAGCTTCAAACTTTCATTACCGTAGAGATAAATTTGTTGAGGAAACGATCTCTACTCAGGACAAAGTTAAATTTTAATTTTAGTCACCTATTCATTACTCATTTTTATTGTTTCATACTTTCAACAAATTTTAATTTCTATTATCATTTAATTGGTGAGACTCATTAGTTTATGCTGACAATAAAAATCGAATCAAACGATTTTATTGATTAAACAATTATAATCGAAGATCAAATGTAAATATAATCAACAAATCTTCTCACATAACTATGAGTTTCACCTCTTAAATTCACTAGTCTAGATACTTTAACTAGAACAAGAGGGAAAATAACTGTTTGAGAGAGATACTTGAATTGCATACTTTTTTCTTCCAATAAGGGTATTTATAAATTTTTCTTCAAGCGTTTGGGTGATGTGATCATTTTGGAGAGGATGACAGGTTATGACTCCTTAATGTCTATTTTATAACTAATTCAATTATAGAATCACACTATACTCACTTCGTCCACATGCCCTTGTTGCCACCTTGAATACGGAGGATAATTCATCGTATATATATAATTGATTAGGTATAAANAAGTAGACTTCACAACCGCTCTTAATGTCATTAAATTATAAGCAAACATCTAATTCACTTCTTTTATTCCCTATCTTTAGGACATAGGCATCAAACCTCTTATACCATTGTCTTGCTCTCTATTTCAGCCCGTACAAAGATTTCTCTAACTTGTATACATAATCAGATTTGCCTCTAGCCACAAACCCTTGTGGTTGGCTCATGAAGATATTTTCTTCCAACTCCCTATGTAAAAATGCTGTTTTTACATCGAATTGTTCAAGTTCCCAATTAAATTGAACAACAAGAGCCAACATCAATATGACCGTTTTATACTTAATCATAGGTGAGAATATTTCATTGCAGTCCACACCCTATCTTTGAGTTTAACCCTTAGCAACTAACCTCACCTTAAACCTCACAGGATTATTAGGGCTCAAACCCTCCTTTAACTTGTAAATCCACTTAAATGGAACCAATTTCTAATCTTTAGGTTTTTAAACAAGTTTCCAGGTTACGTTATTACTCAAAAAATTTCATTTCTTCCTGCATAACTTTTAGCCAACTTTCAGAATATTTTCCATTAACAACTTCTTTATAAGTGGTAGGTTCTATTTGTTCAAGGGCTCCACCTGAAACTAAGGCAAAATCAGTCAAGTTGAGGGATTCATATCTGGGATTAGGTCTCATTTGCCTTTTAGCCCTATCCCTAGTGAGCTGGTAGTCTTGACTAGGTGGCTGATCATCAAAATTTTTAGTCTTAACAGGTTCAATGT